CTTGGCGTGTGGCTGCATCTGCCTTCGCCTGGCCCATCTCCTCTCCTGTCCTCTATGTGTCTCTTATAAGGACACTTGTCCTTGCGCTGCGGGCTCTCTCAAAAACTCCCGAGATGAGCTCACCTCGAGATATCCCTAAGTCAGTGACATCCGCAAAGATTCTTTTCCCAAATACGAACATGACTGCCCAGGTTCCAGGGATTCCAACGTGGACGTGTGTGTTCCTGGGGGTGGGGGTGGGGCACCGTTACACCCCTGCAGCGGGCGATGCCCCCTCTCCAAGGCGGTGGAGGGGGAGCAGAGCAGGTGGAGATGGAGGGCTGCCCGCGTCTGCTCTTGGCGGGTGAATCACTCCTCTTTGAAGAGCCGTCCTCCTGGGGAGCTGGGAGTATTCCAGCTGGCCTGGTGGGGCTGGAGAGGTGGGGCCCCGGTGAGCAGTGGGGCCAGGAGAAAACCTGCTGACAGGTAGGGCCCTCCCCGGCTTTGATTCATTGACCGTCTGGGCAGGAGCTGGACGGAGCCTCTTGGAATTGCAAGAATGCCTCACACATATTTTCCTCCCAGCCAGCGGTTTTGTTCTCAGCCAGCGGAGAGGGCCTGTCTGCTCAGCCTCTCATCCCCTCTCCCGTCTGCGGCTCCCCCCGCACGCCGCCCACCGCTCCCACCGGGGACATCCTCTCCTCGCCGCCGTCACTGAGGCTGGAGTGGGCAGGGCCTGACCGCGTCCTCATAATTGAAATATTTGGCCCCTGAAGCCCGGCCAGGGCAGGGCGGTGCTTCCCCCAAGTCAAAGCGACAGATTCAAGCTGGGCTCTTCTCGGGCTGGAGGGCGCACGGGAAGTGTCCTGGACGCAGAAGCCAGGGACCCCAGGGGACCCGAGTAGCCTCGGAAAGAAGTGGGGAGAGAGGCTGGAGGTCCACGGACCCCCTAAACCCCCGTCTTCATCACAGCGCCTCCGTCCCACCCCGTCTCCTCATGCACACCTGGCATCACTCTGGCCTCACAGAATCTTCCAGGAGGAAGGAATTCATCTGATGTCCATTAGATGATGTAGGCATGTTATACATCAATAAAAATGTTTTTGGAAATTCTGGGGATAGGGGAACTTCTGAGGCACACTCAGCACTCTCAGGACTCAGAAGTTCACTCCTGGTGTCAGGCCAGGGCCTTGGTGTGTAACTGTGTCACCCAGGGCTCTCATTGAGCCCCGTCACTGGATTTGTGGTAGATACGGAGCCTTTGCTTTTGCAAAGACCGATGCAGAAATGGCCCCCAGGCATTCACTCGCTGCAGGTGGGACCCATCACATCACCCTCTACCCCTGTGGGTCTCCAGGGAGGAAGACCCTTCAGAACCCAGTCCCAGGGCAGGCTGTTTTCCGGGAGGCTCAAGAAAACCTCCTCCTTTCTAACGATGAGAATTGCATAATAGATCACATAATAGATCACATTTCCCTTTTTCCTTCAGCTGCCAGGAATCTCAGAGCCAGCTCTGACACACAGCCATGGCCATCATGAAGCCCCTGTGACGGGAAACATGCATTTTCTCTGTCTCTGTGGACTTAGTTTTCTCTCTGCTTCTGTCTTCTCCAACGCTGATCCTCTTTATCAGTGTTTTTATGACGTGCCTTTTGGTGGAAGATGCTCTCTGTGCTCTTTAGGACAAAGAGGACTATAAATAAGGAAATAAATGTTAACTGTTTCCATTATGACATTAATTTTATGGCTGAAAATGTGGTTGCTTAGCATGAGAACACGATTCCCCTTACCGCCTAGTCTGAATTTAGGGCAGAGGTGACCGAGGAAAGCCTTTTTTTTTTTAATGTGGTAAAAGTCACAGAATATAGAACATACTATATTAACCATATTTAACTGTACATTTCAGTGGCCCCGAGTCCATTCACATTGTTGGGCAACCGTCACCATCATCCATCTGACCTGGGAAAGTCTTTCTTCCACCCGTAACCCTCAAGCTCCTTGGGTATATAGCCTGGCCTGTAGAGTCTTGACCAGGTGAGTGGACAGATGATGATCATAAGGATGAGCAAATATAAAGAGCCTCTCTCAACAAGCTGTCTTCTCTGTCCCTTTGCCTCCTGGGGCCTCAGTTTCCCCATCTGCAAAATGGACTTGTTGGGGGTATCTCTTGACGAGTAAGAAAATGCACTGTAAGCTGTGAAGTGCAGGGCCATCACAGAGCCTGTGGGACTGCGGCCCCCAGAAGCCTCTTGGGATGAGAGGGGAGGGTCTCTCCTGTTGACCTCCTGAGAGCCAGGATGGGAGAAAGCTCAGCTGGGTACCTGGTACCTGGGTACCTGCCCTGGCTCCTCTCTGGGCTGGTCTCCTCCAGGCCTGTGGCTCAGGGTAGCATCAGAGGAATGATCCCACGGAAGTTTGTCTGCTCTGCTCCCCCCGCCACTTCCTCAACCTGGCCCCCCAGCCTGGCACTCAGCGTTATCACTCACTCCTGCCCTCCCTGGGGTGAGGACGCCCTCTCCCCTGCAGAGATGGCCCCAGGATCTGAGCTGGGTTCTCTTTTCTCCATCTCCTCCCACGGATTCATCAGATTCATCACAGTGCCTCTAGCTCCCTGCCTGCGGGTGCCTTTTGGCAGCCTGCAAAGTCGATAGAGAGACAACATTGGTCGCTGTCCCTCTTGCAGTTTCACAGATAAGAGAGCTGAGCTCACCCGGGAGGTCACAGGACTGCACGCGCAGCAGCAGGAGGACCCGGGCCTCGAGGGCACGGCCTTCCCAGCAGAGCGGGGGGCGGGGAGGGGGTGCTTTCTTTCTCCCCTCCACCAGCTGTTTCATCTTTTACGGGAGGGTCACCCATGACCAATTAACCCTCTTTGGTTCCTCTGGCCAGGATGGGGCATGGCAGGGCAGAGAACAGAAAAGCTTCCCTCGCCCGGGGTGAGAACTCCCCTCGGAGGTGAGGACAGACCCCAGGGCCGGGCCCAGCCAGCCCCCAAGACGGCACCAAGGACCTGACGCCCCTGCACCTCCCTCCTGTCTGGGCTCTGACGTTCACTGCATTTCTCTCTAGTAAGGTTTTCTTTCCCAAAGCTTCAACCTCGTCTCCCATGAGAGAAGGAGAGCTGGGGGACGCTGAGGGCTGTGGCCTGGGGAAGGGATTCAACCAATCCCCTCGCCCCTACCAGGACTTTCAGAAGAGAAACCCGCAAACAGCATGGGTTTGGGGGCTCCCAGGGGGCCCCCAGCCTCTCCCTCCCGGGCAGCCCCCTCCCTCGGAGACTTAGCGTCTTGTGTCCTGGCGGGCTCAGGAGGACGGAGAGGTGGAGGAGGGGCAGGCGGCCCTTCTTGGCCTCTAAGGTACACTCGTATCTCATGGGCTCTTTTTCAAGGGCAGATTTCAATCCGGCAAGATTCCGCCCCCTCCCCACCCAGATGTGCCGAATTGAAACCTGCCCTTTAACAAGGTGAAGAGGGCAATGGCAGGCCGCTCCAGCGCTCTTGCCTGGAGAATCCCAGGACGGCGGAGCCTGGTGGGCTGCCGTCTATGGGGCCACAGAGTTGGACACGACTGAGGCGACTCAGCAGCAGCAGCTTTAACAAGGCGGGGAGACGAGGCCTCCGTGATCCCCGCCAGGTGAGGCTAGTGCTGCTAAGTCCAGGCCCTTCACTGCACAGCCAGCAGCAGCGAGCAGAGGGTCTCGGCCCGCTGGGCGGCGGGGGCGTCTCTCCACCTTGGCGCAGGACCTCCTCTGTGCCGTTTCCATCAGTGAGCACAGACACACACACGCACACACTCAGTCACTGTCCCACTGGCCTGGGAGCTTCCAGAGACACAAACTCTATCCTATGCTCCTTTGGAAACCTACACGCGCGACCTGTCATTGACAAACATTCCTGAAAGAGCACGTAGGTGGCTCTCAGAAAACTGCCCACAACCCTAAAGGAATCTCAGCTGGGGGAGCCCCGGACCCAAACCCCAGAGCAGAGGACCAAGAGACACTGGGGACTGCTCTGGAGCCTCTAAATCTGTGGCCATCCGGTTCCAGACTCTCCTGTTCCCCAAGGAAGGGGTCCCAGGCAGCTGGGAAGGTTACAGGGAAAGGAGGTCCCCAGGTGTGAGGCAGGAACACGGGCACCAGTGGGAGAGCCGGCAGGGCCTCCTGGCGACACCCACCTTGTCTGAATGCTCCCACGTTCTACCCACCCTGCCCCCAGCCACGCGGACACCCTGGCCCAGTGGAAGCACCCCCTCTTCCCACCGGCCACTCCGGCCCCATCTCCCCACAAGAATACAATCCAGAAAGCTTGCCAAGAGCAGATTCTTTATTAATTTTTTTCTTTAAAAAAAAAGTATTCCTTCAGTATAAAAAATAAATATCTTAAATATGGACATTGAATAAATAAAAATAATCTGTCAGTATGAAACATTCCCACAGGGTACATTCATCAAAGAGGAATTTGTCCCCCAAGGCCAAGTCCTCTCCAGCAGAAAGGAGGGAGGGAAACAGGGAAGAACGCACAGAGCTCGCCATGTGGATGGGAGCGATGCCCAGGTATGGGGTGGGTGGGGGAGAGGGGAAGGGGGGGTGGGGATCCAGAAGTGAAAGGCATCTGTACCATCTGAAGGGAAGCTAATTTCTCGCTTGGTTCTGGCCTCCAGCCCCACGCGCGATGTCTATCGTGGAGAGCCCAAGGCAGAGCTGGACTTCTGTCTGGGGGCACGTCCCCAGGGAGGGAACAAGAAGAGGGGGACAAGGACAAGGAGGAGGAGAGACAAATAAATAGTGGTGCTTTCTCATTTTAAATTTCTTTTTAAATAAATAAGGTCCCCAATACCGCTCTTTCAATCAACTGCAAAAAAAAAAAACCAAAACGACAGTCCCACCCTGCTGCCCTCTCCTCCACGGGCCAGGGGGTCATGACCCAGGATGCAGGTGCAGGTCAAAACGAGCAGATGAAATAAAGGAGGAAGTGGACAGCTTCCTGCCCTGCCAAGCTTTTCCCACACAAAGGCTCCAAAATTCAGAGATGCTGTGCAAAGTGGGTGCCCATCTGCCAGACGGGGTCTGCAAAGAGCACTGAGGCGGGGGGGGGGGGGGGGGCGGGGGTGAGAGGCAGAGCCAGGGCCGGGCCTGGGGAGGAGTGGAAGTGGGGTGAATCACTGGTCCCCCACGCCTCGGAGGCTGCCCAGGTGGGCCTGGCACCGGGAGTCTGTGTCCAGGGGTGATGAGATGACGGGAGGCCAGGCGGCCCCAAGCCTTCCGAGCTGTATTCATGGGAGGAGCAGAGTGATGGGGGGGACAGCAGGCTGAGAATCTGGACAAGGCTGGGGGTGACCCTCGTTAAGACGGTGTCGGAAAGCACGTAACCCATGGTGGTCTGCTCTGCCATCCGCTGCAAAGGTCTTGCCAATGGGACGGGCAGCTCCCACCGCCAGCCCCAACCCCGGGTCTTGGGGCCTGCCTGCCGCCTGCCCATCTTGCCATCCTGATGGGCACTTGGCACAGGTAAAGTGCTTAGAGGAGACAGAGAGGTGCAAAGTGAGTGCAAAAGTACCATCACCGCGCTGGCTGAACGGCAAGGCTCGCCGCTCCGCTCAGGGTTTGAGAAGAAGCCAGAACCCTGATCTGAGCAGCTGCCCCAGCTCCCAGACCGGAGGGCGTTGCTCGGCTCGCCTGGCCCCGGCACAAAGGAACAGGATCGGGTTCCCTGCCTGGGAACCCAGACATGGGTGGGGGTGTGGGGGGAGGTGGGGCAGGAGGGACCACAGCTTCCTGGTCTGCGTCCTGGGGCCTCCTCGTCCTCCTGCCCGGGGCAGGGGCCTGCTCCCTGGGGCCGCCCCAGCTTCCCGCGAGGCAGCCAGGCCCCCTCGCCCTCTGCGGGTGTTTGGGCCACCGGACAAGGCGCCTCCCACTGGGTGAGGGTCAGGACGGTTCCGGGGCCCCTCGACTGCTGGTCTAGAGGTGGCCAGGGCAAAAGAAAGAGCGGCAGCTTGCCTTGCCCAAGGCTTCGTCTCCGCCGTGAAGGTTGCCTCCAGCAGCACAGTCCCGGGGGCACCCAGAGCACAGTGCTAAAGGAGCCCCTTGGAGCCAAGGAACACGACGGCCCCCAGAGCCGGTCCCAGTGGCGCCGGGTCCCCTGCCCTCACCCAGACTGACCAGTCCTCCCAGCTCCTAAGCCTTCTCTGAGCTTCACCCGTAAGGCTCACCCTACCTTGCAACATCTTTGACTTCCAGACCAGGTCCTTGCGAAGGCTTGGCCCCCAGCTCCCATAGGAGGAACCGTCATATTATTTCCGTTGGAGAGAGGGGAGCAGGGAAAGCGGGGTGAGCTTTTGCCATTTGAAGCACCAATAAGTTAATATAAATAGGGCATCAAAATAAATAGACAATCATGCTGAGTCAGGCACACAGCACTCTCGGCTCTCAGGCTTCCTGAGACCCTGACCTCAAGTCCCGCCGTCCCCCTGCTCCAGGGACCAGCGACGGATGGCCTCTGGTACCCCTGGCGAGACCTCACGGGGCCTCGGTGGGCCTCAGAGGGGAGCTGCCACTCTGACCTACTCCATCCGCAAACCCTTGCCCACAAGACTCTGGATCCCCTCAGAACCTCCTCACCTGACTTTGCAACCTGCCTGCCCCCATGTATCCCACCTCCAGGTCCAGCCCCTAGACCCCGCGGCCAGCGAGGATGGCAGGACAGACTTTGGGCTCAAGGAAGGGGAGCCCGTCAAGCCTTGCAAGGGCCTCTCTTCCTTCCCTGGCCTGCATGTGGCCTCTCTCTGCCTCCCCGAGCCTGGAGGGCCAAGTGGGCCTCCTTCTGGAACCTTCCACCTGACAGCTGTAGGCCTGAACTCCCCAGTCACACCCAAGCAAGACAGCATCCCAAAACAGAGCTCCCATTCTAGACTTCCAACTCGCCATACCTGTAGGGGCCAAGGATCCTTCTGGATCCCAGCCCCTCTGGGCTGCCTGAGCTCCAACCAGACCTTTCAAGGTCCGCCGAGGCACTGATGGTGGTCATTCTGCTGGGGGGTTAGTGCCCCCGACCCCTGCTGTCTCGCCCTGTGGCCAGGGTCGCCAGAGACAACTTGTGCGGTTTGCTCACGAAGACCCTGGCCAAGGGGACGAGTCGGGAGCCGAAATCCAGCCCAATACCGAGCGCCCGGCTGCAGTCTCCCAGAAGAAGGGGTGCCTTCCTTTCCAGTTGGCACCACATATAGGTTCTGCTTCTGGGAGTTCTGGCTCTGCTCAGCTTCCTGGCGGCCCACCCTGGAGGGGAGTGGACCGGCCAGGATCCCCCCTCGGGGGTCCTCCAGCGGCCCCCACTCGGGTCTGGCGGTGCTCCGGGCCACGGCCGCAGTTGGAGAGTCCCCTACTATCTCAGACCTCCGGTCTAGAAGGCCTGGGCCAGCACGGCGATGACCTGCTTGTACTTCCCCAGGAGCTGGCAGCCCAGCTTCTTCTTCTGGAAGACATCCTTGCCCGAGGTGTCGGGGCCGTAGGTCACGTCGACGTGGCCCACGTGGTGCTTGCTGCACAGCCGGCAGAGCACGTTGCTGAGCAGGCCCCGCAGGACGTCGGCTGTGGCGCTCAGCCTGCCGTGCAGGCCGTGGGCGTAGGGGTTGAGGACCTTCTGGTCCCGCGTGATGTTGCCCAGGGAGGCGCCCAGGTACGCGATGATGCGGTACAGCTCCACCAGGCGGGCCTTCTCTGTGCCGTTGGCGTGGAAGGGCGGGAAGTCGGTCACGTTGGGGCCGCACAGCTTGTCCAGGTTGTTGGGGAAGGGCTCCCCCTGGGCCGTGTACTGCGGAGCAGACGGGCAGAGGGGCGGTGACGTGGGAGGCAGGGACGGCTGCTCCGGCCCTGCCGCCAGCCTGTGGTCAGACTTTGGGCATCAGTGCCGCGCCCCCCATACACACACTCACAGGCTTGACAACCCAATCACTTGCCCTGCAGGCATCTCGGGACTGTCCCGAGAGCCAGAAGTAGCGGTGGGCGTGAATGCACTTAGTAAAGCATCCAGCCTCTATCCCACGCAAGGAGGTACCCTCCTCATCACCCGAATCAGGACCACAAGGGAGAGAAGGGAAAACACCAGGTCTCACCTCCAGCGCGTGTGCACCACATACACTTGCCCTTTCACCCACCGCATTCACCCTCTTCCTGGGCGGCTCCACACCCCGTCACCCACAGCACCTCCCCAGTCCCTTCCACCGCCTCCCTCTGTCTCTCATCTTCCTCTCCCTCCACCAGGTGGACAAATCCCAACGCTAGAAGTGCCAGCCCTGCCTGCTGCGCCTTCTCCGGGCGTCTCTGCCCCCCTCCATCGACCTAGGCACCCTGGGAAAGAGGCCGGGCCTCGCTGGGGGGATGGGGAGGAAGCTGGTGGGGGAGGTCTGGGTGCGGTGGGACAAAACCCCACACCCTTCCCTTCTCTGACCAGCCGCGCCAGCCCAGGTCCCTGCTTGCAGACCCCAGCCCCTCCCTGCCTCGTTCTTCGGCCCCGAGGGGGAGACTTACATAGAGGATAAAGAGGCTGTTGGCACTGCTGTTGAGCTGTCCCAGCTGGTTTCTGATCTGGTTCATGAGGTTGCTGGGACATGGATGGCGGGTGGCACAGGTGGCGTTGACCGGGGTGATGGGGAGGGGGTTGCCGGCCCCCTGTTTCCAGTGCAGAACCAGCAGCAGGGGCACGACTCCTGAGAACAAGCAGGGGAACCATGAGCAGGGAGTGGGGGGCGGGCGGGGCGGGCAAGCTGGCTTAGGGGAGAGGTTGAGACTCTGGTCCTGCGGGGACGTTCCCCTCTCAGGCTCCAGGTCTCTCTTCTCCAGACCTGGCGGTTTCTGATTTTCACGATGTCCCTGCATCTGCCTCTCCAGATCGCTAACTCTCCCTGTTTATCACTCCCTGCTCTCTCCTGAGGGGACCAAGGGGGACAGGACGTGAGCTGTTCCTATCAGTTGGAAACTGGGTTCAGAGTGATACCAACCCTCCAGGCCTCTGGCTGGAGGGGACGACGCCCCAGGTCTCAAGGAAAAGATCAGTCCTTAACTCCCCAGGTCCAGATTCCTAAGTGTTATTCCTAAGTGTTACTGCATGCTCCTGTCTCCCAGAGGGGGCTCCCACGAGGCCCACAGGGAGCGGGAGTTTCTACTGACCCTCATCTCCCAAACTTGTCTCATGACGTGGGCTGACTGGCCCCTTTGTCCCCTGATCCTGTCACCTTCCCCAGCTTCTCTGTGGTCCTCCTTCTCCAAATGTGGCCAGTCCCCTATCTGGGACCCTGGACTCCACCCCAGGGCTGCAACTCTGCCCCCTTCTCCAGCGCCAGGGCATCCTTCAGAACCTCCCTTTCTGGCTCCTGGCCTCCACGCTCCACCCCCCCACCCCCACGCCCGCAACACACGCACTCTTGCTCACTGGTCCCCATCCCAGGTTGCAGGTTAGGACAAGGAGAATCCCGGGGTTCCACAGACACCCCCAGAGCCTTCGAGAGGGAGAGGGAATGGTGCAACCAGGAAAGAAAAAGGGAAAAGGTAGCAGGCAGCCAGGTGGGCAGGGGAGGGAGGGAAGTGAAAGGTGAGAGGGAGAGGGGAGAGCTGTCCAGGCCCGTCCAGGCCCCTGCTTGCCACCCACCCACCTCTGCGGTCCAGGTGACCCTCCAGCAAAGGCTGAGGTCAGAGGACCTGTGAGAGGTGGAGAAGCGAGGAGATTGGAGGAAGGGGAGGCGCCCTGGAGTCCGTTCCTCGGCTGGGACTGTGCAGCCTCGACTTCTCTTCTGGGTCCCCTGTGCCTCCCAGCATCTCCAGGCAGGGCTCAGGTCCCAGGATGACTGGCGGGGGGTGCGGGGGGTGCCCCACACCCCAGGCTCACCTAGCACAGACCACAGCTTTCCGGGCTCTAGCAGATGGAGGCGGCACCTGCTCCTGTCCCGGGCCGGAGTTTGCGAGCTGCTCGGGCGGCCGGCGCCCCTCCCAGGGAGCAGCCGGGGACGCGGTTGGAAAAGAAAGCGGAAAGAAAGAAAGAGAAAGAAAAGAGGGAGGGTGAATCCCGGAGAAAGCTGAGCGGGAAGAGCAGCGGCAAGAGTGGCAGGAGCGAGGAGGAGGAGGAGGAGGAGGAGGAAGGCAGCGGCGCCCCCTGCCTGGCCCGCCAACCTGCGGGGCCCGGGGCGGGCTGGGCGCGCGGTGCCGGCACCATGTGCCTGCGCTCGCTCCCGGCGGCTGCCGCCACCCGGCGCCTCCGGCGGCCCCGGGCTCTCGGCTGCGCGGGCGCCCCAAGTGTCCGTGTGTCTGCGGCGGGTGGGTGTCCCGCTCGCGATCGCCAGGGGCCCCAAGTTTGCCGCGGCGTCCGCGGCCGGGGCTCCCGACGGAAGCCAGCCCGGGGCGGGGGGCGGGTGGATTTACCTGCCGCCAAGACCTTCATTATGGGCTGCACTCCAGAGGGCCTTGAAGGAGACCTTAGATGCCGGCAGTTTTCAGAGGTTCATGCTCAAATGGGGAATTTGCCTGATTTATATACTGGAGCCTGTGTTGTAAGACAGAGAGAGAAACAGCTATATTTAGCAGGGATCCCCGGTCCAGGAAGTTGTTTGAGGTGCATCATAGGAAATTATGAATGGAAGAAAGTGAGAGTGAAGGGGGGGGCAGTGAGGGGGGAGGGTGGGGAGAGCAGACTTTTTCCCTCTTCTAAGAATTTGATTGATAAAATTATAATGAACTCTTCAACAAAACACCCTGCGGTTTTCCTGAGCAGCTTGCCCTAGGAGTTGTTTGAAGATGGGGAGGAGAGGGAGGGTCCCCGAGTCGTCAGGGTCCCCCCTCCCCCGGGGAGGTGGGCGCCCCAGACAACCCTGACTCACCTGGGTTTGGGGAGGTGGCTTGAAACTAGGCAAGGAGATGGAAGCTGACACCTGCAGCCCCTTGGTCAAGGGGTTTGGAGGGGGACAGTGGGGAAGAGGCAGGCTGGGGCTTGGCTGAGGAGGAGGTTCCAGGAAGAGGGGCTGGGGCCTTGGCGTGGACTTTAGACGGCAATAAAGCGAAACTGAACGTGGGCCCTGGAAGCCACTGCGGGGATGGCCTCCTCCATCCTGCCCGCTGCCACCGGGCAAAGCGGGGCTCCCACGGGGACAGGTTGCCCAGGGTTCCACACGGTCAGGCCTCCTGAGTGCCATCAGCAAGCCGGCGCTGCTGACCACGGGGATAGCGGTGGGGCCCAGGAGGGGGCTGGCAAGATGAAAGCTGAGGGGCTGCTGTGACTGCCTTCTCTGGGGAGACCCTGGGGAGGAGCTTCGGGGAAAGTGTGGTGTGTCTGGAGTTTGCCTAATCTCTCGGCACCCTTCTGGGGAGGGTGGTCCTGCATTTCCATGTTGAAAGGACATTTGAAGCAGAGACTTAGCCAACTGAACCCGGGCTTGCTCCTCGGGATGTGGAGAGATGGTTGGGGAGAACAGAGCAGCTTGGAGGGCCCTTGGGGCTCAGCATCAGAGCAGGGTGATGGCCCCCTAAAGGCGCTTCCGGAGCCTGTTAGGCAGAGTCACGGATTATGGCATCTTTAGTGGCAGATAGGTTCAGAAATGAATGAGGGTTAGGAAGGAATGGTGAGGGGTAGGGAGAATGAGCATGGCAACCCCTTCCCGTTAAAAAGCATTCAAAAAACAAAAAAACAGAGGTGGGGGAGTGCTGGTCAGGCACATATCTGGGGCCCCACTGCAAGGGTGCCCCCGTCTTTTTTGCAGGAGATTCTCCTGCCCCTGGGATCCACCACGGCCCTCCCACCTGACCCTGAGCAGCGAGCCTGGCGGGAGAGTTGGTTCTCCAAGGCCAGGGAGACCCGCAGCCTTTCCTTGGCTCCCAGTTTCCTCAACCATCCCCCCCAACCCCCGCCCCGTGCCCCCAGCTCCCACCTCTTGCCACATCCCGGACCTGCCCAGCCACGCGTTCCTTCCTCCCGCTTCGTGCCAGGACGAGCCCTCCTGCGGCTGCCATGCCCCCTCCCCCCACACACGCCCTGCCCGCTCCAGGCTGCTTCCTCCCGCTCGCTCTCCCAGCAGGGCCTGAACATGGGGCTGATAAAACTGCCCACCCCAGCGGGCACATCCCAGCGGGAACTTCCCAGTGGGGAGGAGGAGGCTGGCAGGGCCCACATTGGCTTTCCTTCCCCTTCCTATCCCCTCCGCACCTTGTGTCTCCCCTGGGGGCCACGGGAGGCCCCACCTGGCACTTAGCCCCGCTGTGTGTACACCCCAGGGCATCCCAGGTCACCTCCCTCTCATCACCCCCCACCCCGAGTCTCCCCTGCACAGGGGCCTGACCACTCAGGGACCACACGCACCCCTGACATCTCCCAGACCCTTGTCGTTTGACTCCGCCTGACTTTGGATGGGGACCCCCAAATGCATTTGAGGCCCCCATCTCTGGATCCTCTGGTTCCCCGAGCATCTCACTAGGTGCCTTGGGTCTCCTTCCTGCCCCCCTGCCTTCCAGGCCTGGACCCTCCAACCTCCTTCCCAGTGGACTCGCCAGGTCCTGCACTGCCCTCTGGCTGCCCAGACCCCCCTCAGCCCTATAAAACACGCCCCCCCCAAACGCCATGTCATCTCAGCCCCACCCCACAGGAAACAGGAAGTGGGGCCGAGTCTACAAGACACTTCACCACCACCCCCACGCCCTGACAGGCCCCCTCCCGCTGCCTCAGTTTCCCCTCTCACGGTACCTGACTTGGTCCCTGCTTCCCAAGTGTTCTGGGCCCCTCGGCACCCCAGGCCCAGCCTCCCTCTCCTGTCCATGTCCGGCCACCACCTGCGCCGGGCCTCTCGGGGATGAAGGCCAAGCAGGGTCTCAGAGCCGCCTGCAACGTGGCCGCAGTCCCTGGGAATCAGCGGCCCAGGCCGCGCTCCAGGCCGGCTTTGGTCTCCTGGAGTTTGTTTTCTTCCCTCCCTCTCTACGCTGCTGTGTGTGTGTGTGTTCCCCCCGCCCCAGCTTCCTCACGGAAGGCAGCCTCCCTTCTTGGCCGCCTGCTCCCGGGGTCGTGACCCCAGGCCCCACCCTGGAGTGGCAGCCCCAGCCCGGCCCCTTCCAGCTGTGACTTCATCCCCAGCCTGTCCTGCTCCTGCACCACTGGGCCTGCTGGGGATCTGACCGGCCTCGGGTGAGGGGGACACTCGGGCCCACGCGGCTGGGGCCGGGGGCTGCTCCTCTGGGCGGCCGCGCCATCCACCTGCTCATCTCCTTTCTCCAGGAAGCAAGTCCAGGGCCGGCCTGGGGCCTCCCTGGGCCCCTCAGAGCGATTTCTCTGCCACTCACTTTAGCACATGTGGCCACCAGCCCCTCCTTTTCTGTTGATCCTCATTCACCAGCCACAAGCCTTAGAATGTCAGATGTCTTATTTTCTGACGGGGAAACTGAGGCTCAGAGAGGTGAAGGCACTTGCCCAGAGCGGTAGAGAGTTAACAATAGAATGGGGCCTGGGTCCCCAGCCTCTGGCCCGAAAGAGGGCCACATCAATGCTGGCAGCCCCTCACGCTGAGAGGGGAGTGAGGAGTGGTGGGCTGCACTCGGGCCACTTCTTCCAGGAAGCCTCCCCTGGCCTCTCACAGCCCAGAGGGGCTGAATCTGCCTCATCCTGCCCATTCTCCTTTCAAGTGGGAACAAGACTCATTCCTCGCTGTTTGAATGCTTGCGAAGGGTCTGATCCTCCATTTGGACTCTTGAAAGCACCTGGCTTGGGGTTATATCAGAGCAGATGCTAAGTATTTTTTAAAAGCATTTTAGTTTTTCAAAAGCTGTCTGTGCCAGGTCTCTTGGGCCAAAAAGACATGAAGTCTGGGTCGGAAGCATGGACTTCAGCCTCAGTCACACTCAGGTTAGAGGTTTGGCTCTGCCAGTGTTGAGCTTAGAGACTTTGAGGAAGTGACCACCTTCTGGCCTCAGTTTACTCATCTGTAAAATGGGTACAATGGCATCTATGTTGTGGGTTTTCTCTGCAGGCTCTGGCTCATCGCAGGTCTGGCCACCCAGCAAGCCCCTTTACTTGTCAGCATCATTCTTCTTTACTGCTCCCCTGTTCTTGTCCCCATTTTACAGATGAGGAAACTCAGGCATGCTCCAGGGCTAAAGGGGGAATGCAGGGCAGGAGAGAAGCCTGTTCATTCTCTCCTGATGGATAACAGAAGCAAAACAGCCTTGAGCTTCCAGTTTCCAGGGTGCCCCAAGAAGATCAGATGGGTTGATGGGCCGGGGGTGGCATAGCGGTGGGCTCTCTCCCTATGGCCCATCCTGGCCCCTGACCACCCCCATCCCAGGCCTGAGCTGAAGAAACAGCGGCTGACCCAGCCTCACCGCCCCCATGAGCTGATTCACCCCCAGCCCCCCCCCCCCGGCCCCATCCGAGAAGGAAGGAGACATAGCTCAGCTCAGAGGGGCTTGAATCACCAGCCGCCCCCTGCAGAGCCCTGGCGGGGGGGAGTTGCGGGGGCGGGGGACAGCCCCCTGCCTGTCTGTCTCTTTCCTGGGCCCCGGGGCATTCAGGGGAGAGGGCAACGTGGCAGTGGCCATTGGCAGGGGGTGGCAGGGAGGTACCCTTGCAGCCGGGCATCCTGTGTGGGAAGCCAGCAGCAGTTACTCACCAGGTAAGCAGCTCACTGGGCATCGGGGAATTCCCCAAGATTAGTGACCCAGAAACTGAGTCCTCCGGGCAACCCCCACCACCCGGGCCAGCCCCCCTCCTCCCTTCCCATATCTCTTCCCTGTCCTCAGCTCAGATCTCAGTTCTCTGAAACCTGGCAGCTGCTGTCACCATCAGCTCACACCCCTCTCCTCGCCCTGATGCTCCCACCTGGGAAATGAGCACAGGGGAGTCAGGTGGGCCCAGGGGAGGAAGTTGGGGGTCAGAGGGAGTGACCCGGGACCGTGGCTGGTGAGGGGCAGCCAGAGGAGACAGGAGAAGCCCAGGGATTCCTGGCACAGCCCTGGCAGTTGGGTTTCCTGTCCCCAAAGGCAAAAGCACCTTGTTATTTGGCACTTGAGAAAGGAGGATGTATTAGTAACTACACCTGCGGGGCCGCCCGCCTCCACCGTCCACACACTCTCACGTAAGCTCTCGTGTACTTTCCTGTGGCTTCTGGGTCAGTTTTGCAAGTCACCTTGGGCCCTCCGGGGCCTGGGGTGGTTCTGGTACCCATGGTAAGGGTGTGGCTTAGAGCCAGGCAAGCTTGTATTTGAATCCTGCCCACGCTGCAGGTCGCTGTGTGACCTGGGACAACTGGCTTTCTCTGAGTCTCAGATCCCCCTCTGGGAGTGGGAATGCTGTAATACTGGACTCATGGGTTGGTCACGGGGATGTTAAGTGGGAAACACACAGTGCCTGCTACGTGGCAGCTTTTCTCACCAGAGCTCCGCAGTGGACACAGGAGGGGCTCAAACCCC